GGGAAAGAAGGTCTGAAAAAGTTAGTACCCATTAGAGGTCTGTTTTTGAGTCTGGTCTTTATGGTTCAGTAATGGCTCTGAACGCAGCAATTGGAATGTGAATATAGTGTTCAGAATAGCTTTCAAGTTCTGCAGCCATAAAGTCATTAAACAACGCCATTTATACCTTTAAGCCTTTTGTTTCTCGAAACCTTGTCGTCTTCAATCCATATATAGCAACCATTTTCAAACAAGGAAAAAAAAAACTTGACAAGGCCTATGAATGAGGAGATGGTAACACCATTGAAACAGCATGTAGTGATCCAGTTATAAGACCTTGTCACCCTTCCATTCGCTGCTTAACAATCTCAGCAGCCAGTTTTATGCATGTAATAACAGGTTTCGGTGGTCAATATCGAACACTTTGCTCTTAATGGAGGCTAGACTTCTTTTCTGAAGACCTTCAACAAAATACAAACAATACACCCTGCTTAACAAGGTTTAACTATATCTTCGACTCACAACTTCTTTGTTCGATACTAGAAGATTCTATTGACATGGCTAAGTTTTTGTTTGTCTATATGAAAAATGAAAGCTCACTAAATTTCAATCGACGACGACACGAGTGCCGAAGACAAGCTCGAAGAGGGGTGGGTAGGGTCCCGGACTACAATCATAACCTCAAAAATCAGGATTCTCATATGAGTTAAGTTTGTATATATGAAAGATGAAAGTTTGCCAAATTTCAATCGGACACACACTGACACTTCACGAACCCGTATGACAGCTCGCCAATTACGTTACCCTAGAAAAATCAATAAAAAGAAACAAGAAATTTTCTAAACATATTTTTCAACCTTTTGTTTATATTTAGCATAGTGAAACTTTTTAAAATCTAAGAATATTTTTAAAGTAAGGTATTAATTTTTGTATTAAAAGATATATTGAAATTTTTGAAGGGTGACGACGTAATTTTATTTCGATAAATAAAAAATTTATGGAAGATAATAAAGGTGTAGATTTTAAAACCTTATTCAAATAATGTTTATTATGATATTTATTATTCAGATATGCACGAATTAGTAGAAAGTGTGAAGATTGGATTTAAATATTGTTTAATATAATAAATAATAGCTATATTTAAATTAAGAAGGGCAAAATGGGAAATCGAAAAATTATGAGGGTAAAAAAAACTCTCCCCAAGCTTCGTTTACATATAAATAGACCTATATTTTAAAAACATTTTAATAAAGGGAAGGGTATAATTGTCAAAATACAGAAATAAAAGGGGTTTCGCGGGGCATTCGGAAACGGACAATTCACCTTCCTTCTTTGCGAAGCATGGCGACACCGGTAAGTTCCTGATCGCTCTTCAACTCTTCCACCACTTGTTGCATTCAGACCATTTCTGTAACCCTAAATACCCATTTCCAATTTGACCGACCCCATTTGATTTTTAAGTTTACGCTTCTTTGACTTTAGCGTTTCGTTGTTATTTCATTTTGTTCTATCGCGTTTGGCCTAGAAAACCAGGGGGAGAAAAAGGAAACTGAGAATGAAATAAAATAATTCCTTTTTGGTACTGGGAACTTGTAAAATACATCGATTTTTTTCGGAGAGATTTGCCTCGTATGATTTCATTGAAACCCTCAAAATTAAAAAATGTATTAATTGGGAAATGGGGTGGTTTGGTTGTCTGTCGCTTTTGTTTGTTGTTTTGCTGCCGAGGAAACAGAGAAATTACTGACAAAAGATAATTTTGACTTCTAAGCTCTTACATCTTATTATGGTTTTGATCCTTCTTTTTAAATATATTCAACTCAGGTATGCAATTGAAACGTGGTGGCGTTATTTGTTTCAGAGTTGATTTGTTTATGTGCTTATGTTGGATTTGAAGATGGATGTGGAGGAAGTTAGACATGAAGTAGAACTAAGCGATGTATGTAAGTGTAATGAATTGAAATTGAGGTGTGAAAGAGCTGAAAAGAAATGTGAAGAGTTAGAATTGACGATTCAGACAAAGAAGATTGAGTGTGAATTACTTCAAGGCCAATTGAAGAATTTGGAGTCAGAAAAGTCAGCAATTGAAGAAGAGCTAACAGTTTGGATGGAGAAGGGTCGTGAACCGGGGCAGCAGGTTAGTTGTGCTCGAGATGGAAAGCCAATTTGTTTTGAGGATGGAAACAAAGGAGCTGTGAATTTAATTGGTAAGACTGATGTGGAAAATGAGGTTCTTCAGCTTCTAATTGAGAATAATGTTTTGGCTGTTGAGAAGAAGAAGGCTGAAAGTGAGGCTGAGATGTGGAAACATAAGTTCAAAAAATTGGAGATTAAGATCTTGAAGTTGGATGACAGTTTTGTTCTCGAAGATGACGGGCCAGTGCTTTCTGGGAGGCTTGAAGGGGGAACTGGATCACCCTCGAGTCCCGAAGCTCGTGTTTTGGATTGCGTGGGCTCTAACCATCATTCCCTATATAAAGATATTAGAGACTTGCAAGCAGGTATTCCGTATCTTGTCTTTTTTCCTTTTTCGCACTCAATACCATATAAGACGACCACTCAACACTTCAATGATATGTAGGATTGGATCATAGTATGTAATATCTTAGATGAGTAGCCATGAAGACTTTGACCTAATTAATTCAGGTTGACTGTTTTCTGACCTTTTTTTTCCTTCTGTGTTTGGTGGATATGCTCTAATGATAGGAACACCTCCAAATGGTTCACCACACCATCATACTGTTTCCCTTGAGAGAGGGAAGAAATTCCGTTGTATAGAATCTTATTTCAAGCATGGAAATCAAGTCAGAAAACAGTTGAATTTTGAAAAAGAGAGCCCCATAAAAAGGATGGCACCATTAACTCCAGCTGTTTCTAGACCTTTACATGGTATCATTAACATTGATGATAGCGACGATGAACCGATTATTGCCAAATCGCTCTCTAATAATCAGAAAAAGAATGAGGTCTGTGTTTCAGCAGCTCAAGATTTAAGTGGATGTGGATGTACTAGTTCTGAGGAGAAAATACGCAATGAAAACAAATTGAGGGAGTCACATTGTGGTACGAAAAATATGGAACTTATGGAAGCTTTTAGTGATGGTTTCATCTTTAATTCTACACCCAAAAGGAAACGGGCTTCTAATATTATAATGAGCGACACTGAAACTGATGATGATGATAATGTTCCAATCTGCAAATTGAAGAGAGTGCCAATTCAGAAAACAAACCATACACAAGTAAGCTTAGAATTGAATGATGGCCCAGCTACTACTACTTCTGCATGTGACAAAGTTGTGGATAGTGCAACCCCTGCAAGGCGGCGTTTAGTATCATTAAGACATTGCTACGAGAAGGTAAGTGGAAACAAATACCCTTCAAGCCAGATCATTAATATCGATAATGGAATGAAGGATGTTGAAGATGAACTGGAAGATACTGTATCAGAGCAAGATACTGAGAGTGAAAGCTTGGATCGATTTATTGTTGACAGCTCCGATGCTTCAGATGTTGGAAGCGCTCAGTCAGATGATTTATCAAATGGCAGTGAAGGGTATGAAGAGATAATATCTAAGCTAGGGAGGAGAAAAAAGGAGTTGAAATGGGAGTATGAGGCTGATATGCTCGCAGCTTTTGGTAAGGATCCTGAATTGTGTATGAAGGCTGTGTGTGCTCTTTATCGACAGCAAACTTCTGAGGAAAAAGTTTGTAAAGAATCATTATTTTCTAACAATAGAGGATTCAGCAAGTTTGATGCTATCAAGTATGATTTCCAACCTTCTTTCCCTTTTTCTTGGATAAACGTTTTATCATATACAACTAGGGAAAACAAACACGGAAGATCTATATCTAAGAAGTTGGACATATTGTTGGCACGCGAAGAGCGAGTTCATACCAAAATAAGTTTTTTGATAAATTTTGCTCACTCACTTTAATGTCTGTTACAGGGGCACTAGGTTGGCTGAGTTCCTCACGGACGGTGATCCGCAAGGCAATCTCAACAAATCTGTTAGAGAGTTGGAGGAGTATGACCCAAAGGCTATTAACCTCTGCAGAAAGTTAGCAACGCATTACTCCAAGCAGTTGTTCGAGATATATGGAAATAAAGAAGATCCTTTCTTTCTACCAGCATGACATGATCTCATTGATTCCGCCGGCTAAACAAATGCATATGTAAGATTCAAAACCCTCTGCTTGAAACAGCTCCAAAAAATGGTTATTTTGTTGGAAAATAGCGTAGAGTGTGATTATGTTGCATACTTGTTGAGAGGAAAGCTATATTGATAGACCACCTGTGAATCTCATCGTAAGTTTTGTGTATATAGGATGATTATATGTTTCTATCGACTATCTTGGAGAGGTCTACGTTGTATAGTCTGTACCCTTGGCAATATGTTACAGAGAAAATTAAGGCCTGTTTTGGAGCTTCGTAAATAAGTTATTTGATTACAAATTTTCAAAAATAATTTGAAAAAGAAAATACTTTGAAGTTTTTTGTATGAGCCCTTGATTCTCCTATTCCAATACAAATATTTTGGTTCATTTCTCAAAAGTATTAGTTGCACCATCTACTTAGGATGCTAAAAGTCTTATAAATTGTTCTTAAGTTAATCAGTGAATAGGGAAAAGAATCTCTGTTGAAGAACAATGATTGTGGTTGGTAGTTATTATGAAGATACCCATGTGATGACAGAATGGTTTCAAACAATCACAACTCTGATGAACTGGCAACAAGAATTTATTCTCAAGAAGAAAGGCTCCACGGACTGTTATGTAGGACTCTAAGGTGTAAGTGAATTTGCTTGATTTCTTAACAGGACGTTTGACTCTTGCTTCACTAAGCTCGAGTTAGGAAGTTCGGTTTTGTTCTAACTTGTATTTGAATTATGCTAATGAATATAGATCACACAAACATATAATTGTGTAATCTACATTTGGTTTGTAGATTTATGATTGTACTCGAAACATTCTCTTGTCGGTTTTTGAACCTTAGAATTTTGAATTATAGGAGATAAATGGAAGAAAGCATGGACCATGTTTAAATGTAATACAATCATACACAGCCACAAGATTGCTGTAAAGGGCGTTGGCAGAGAAAAGAAGCCAAAAATAGGGAAATAGAGGGAAAACGTTGCCAGCAAAGGGGTGGCTTCCCAGATAAGCAGATAAGGAATTAGGCAAGAACCAGTTTACAGTCTGTCTTTTTGTAAAGTAAATTAAGGATCCAGCAAAGCAGAATAAAAAAGAAGGAATCTTTAGAGAGAGAGAGAAAGAGAATGAAGACTCACATGGGTTGGCGTGGATTCCCATGACTTCAGCGGTTGAAACCCAAACAGTACTAAACCCAAATCCCTCCATAGCCATCCTCATTCACAGCTCTCAATTTTCTTCTTCTTTTTCTTGTTTTTCTGTCTTTCTCTAGGTTCCATCGAGGAAGAAAGGGCATTTTGGATTGAACAGAGAGGCAGAGATGGCTGCTTTGAGGGCTTGTTTTGGACTCTATGCCGTGATTATTGCTATCTTTTATGTTGTCATGTTGCCTGTATCTCGAGCTGAGCATGCCTCTTCTCCAGCTCCGGCTCCGGCTCCCACTAGCGATGGTTAGTTCGCTTTATCCTTGGTAGTTTTTTCTGTTTGTTTATTGAGAAACTTGCTGGGAAAATGACTGGATATCAAAAAATGGCTTTAGAATCAACTCTTCTCTTCTCTTCTCTTCAAACTCCATGTTCTAACCAGTACCAATTCAATTGGATCTCCTTGAATTGGAAATGGGTTTCGGGAAACGTGTCTCCTTGTTTGAATTGAAACAAAATCCACTCTTTTCTCCCACAAAAACCTTCCTTTTGTAGACATTTTCTGTTTGTTTCTTGAAAAATTTACAGGGGAGAGATGACAGGAAATCCGAGAATGGTTTCGAAACCAACTCTCATTTTCAAAAACAGCTAAATCTGCTTAAATTGAAAATGGGTTTCTGGTATTTGAAGAGAAGAGTTATTGGGTTTTGAAAATGAATCTCCCTAAATTGAGAAAGGATTTGAATGGATTTGATTATGTTGCAGGCACCGCAATAGACCAAGGCATAGCATACATTCTAATGCTGCTGGCTTTAGCGCTCACTTATATCATCCATTGATGCAACTTCCAAAAGCACCAAAAACAGAAGAAGCTCCAATTATGTGTATGAGATGATGGGAGGAGGGCGTGGTGTTTCAAATGCCTTTTACCTTTTTTTTTGAAAGATTGGCAGAGATTTCATTTGTAGAAAGTCAGTTGTATTATTATATATTTATCATTCTTTTTCTTGAGTGATCATTATGTTCATTTGGGTATCATAAATCTCCAAAATCAGCCACTCTCTTTAATTGTCTTATAAATCAATATATTATGTCTGGAAATATGATAGAAGCACTTGAACATTATTTATAAGTGAAAATAATTCAAGAAAATTGAAAAACCAGATAGAAACCATTCATATCCTAATTGAAATGATGAAGAAGCAAAAAAGAATCAAGAAATACTAAACAAGAAGTCGCATAGGAAGCAAGGCCTTTTGGAAGGCACATGAATGAGAACCCGATTCACTGCTCGAGTGAGTGAAAGGAAAATGTTTAAAAGAATTGATAACAATTGAAGATCAATACTAACCTGATGATGCTTATTTTTTGAAAACCCATATCTTAGAAACTCGTCTAAAAGCATAGACAACATGTGAAAATGTATGCATTTTTTAGAAATCGACCAATAATCTAACTTGAGAACATTACGTTGGTGAAAAGAAGTTGTATTAGAGATGCTACCACAGAGACGATAAGAGATGCTACCACAGAGATGGCGCATCAACATCAACACGTATAATAACCGAGATGTGTTGAGTATGAATTTCAAATCTTTGGACCAAACAAAAAAAACGAGACAGAGACAACTTGAGAATCATGACACATAGTTTCAAAGAAGAAGCAGCTGAGAGGACAAATTTATGGATTTTCATGTGAAGAAACAAACTTCCAATTAAAGGAATAAACACAAACCCACTCCTATTGTCTTTTAGTTGTCCCTATCTCCTAAATTTAGGCATGAGCCCTCTTTATAGCCAACCAGATAAGAGGTCTAAAGCAACAAAATAAAATAGCATTAATACAGGTAGAGTGTGTGTCATTTTCTTAGGCATTTGTTGTCTGACATGTCGTTGGATTGGAACCAAGTTTAAGGAAAGCAGAATCTTCAACATTTGCTGACCAGATACACTCTACGATTGAAATATGTTTAGATGTTCCAACACCATACGATGATGATCAATGGTGGCTCAAAAATATGTTGCCTCTATTGGAGTTTCAGCTGGTCTTGTTCTTTGTGGCAATTTTTCATTTTTCCGGTCGTTCAAGGAGATTCTCTCTGGGGAAGAGTTCAACCTAAAGCAAACTCAGGACTTCTGAAGCTTGGAGGTCAATTTTGGAGCTTAGAAAAGTAGATTTTTGAAGCTCGAGATTGTGAGGAGCGGGATATTTCCATGATAGACCTTATTTGTCTTTTTAAAATGGGTTGACGCTCCAGAACGATCCCCTCTATGACTGCACAGTCCTAGAACGCTCCTCCACCTTGACCGACAACCTACGAACACCTAGAAAAAGAGAGGAAAGGGGTGAATATATAAATATACTCAGTTAAGCAACCTACTTATAAACTCTCATCGCATCCTTAACCTAGTAGGTATCCATGAGCTTTACTCTAGGCTCTAGGAAGTTCGGGCCTAATCTCTACTACTACTTGAATATCTAGGGTATGGTACTTTAACGGCTCACAGATCCACTCTAAGTATGGAGGGTGTAGTTCACCATTTCTGGCGTCGCAGGTCTTCTGGGCGACAAATCTCACTTTTGGGGTGAACTACTTTTCCGTTCTTAGACTTATGTAGCTTGCTCTGCCTCAGCAGTATGTAACCGCTGTCCTAGATTGAGACGCTACCAAGTAAAACTCTCTCTCTCTCTGGTAGGGACAACATGGTGTGTGCTAGTCTACTCTCATTATCGAGGTTAGCTGGCGAACCTTACCCACAGGATCATCTAGTCATCCAAGGTGGGGGAGCAACCCTTGTGTGCTTGCCAACTACTAAGACTACCCTCATAATTCTACGTCCCTTCTCAAGATGGATATGTTGTGCAGGATGGTCCAACTAAACTATCGATCACACAACCCTAACCGACTTAGGCTTGGCTCGACGGTACTGGTACCAGAGTGGAAGTAGAAGTGGAAGCTCTGTTGACATCATACCATCTGCTAACGGCGAGAGGCTACCTTTGATTTGCTGAGTTGCTACAATTTTTCTGCTCTTTGTCCTTGGCGGCTTACTTTGCTTACATAGACTTAAGTTAAGGTGAGACCTCATAAAATTTTGATGAGACAGTATGGTGATTTCTAGTCTGCATCCAATGGAGGTTGGTTGGCCCATCCCTCAGGACCAAAGAGTCACCTACGCTTGGGGGATGCAATCCACATGTTCTGGCTAGCTACTAGGCTATCTGACGTGGTCTCACGCTCCTCTCTCAAGAACAGGTTTACAGCACAATGATCCTGTTTAAGAGATCACTGGCCATTCCATAAAATTGAAGCTCACACTACCTTAAACGATTTGTAACAGTTCAAGCTCACCGCTAGCAGATATTGTTCACTTTGGCCCATTACGTTTCACCATCAACCTTACGGTTTTAAAACACGTATGCTAGGGAGAGATTTTCACGCCCTTATAAGAAATGTTTCATTCTCCTCTCTAACCGATGTAGAATCTCACATGATCTGTGCCTAGCTCGTTACCGAAGTGGAAAGGGTAGTGGAGGGTTTGAAGACACCATCACACTACTATCAGCATGAAGAAATGCTTTGGTAGTCTCTTGTCCCCTACCGAGGCGGGTTATATCCTCATACACCGTGACTTCTCAAATTGTTCCATTTATGTTATCATCAATCTTATAAGTTCTTATAGTTCTCCATGGGAGACGTGGAGATTTATTAGGTTTTAGGTTGTCTAGGTGGAATAGGTCACATCTCGTGTTCCGAAGTTGTTCGGGTTCAGCTCCTCATGGCTAAGTCAGATCTCGGAGTGTATCTAAGTCTCTAATTGTCACTCATGATCTTAGGTGCTCAGCGACCGGAAATGTATTTATCTAAGACAATGCATAAATCACTCTAGTTCTACTCCCCTAAATTTATTTTGGTTTATATTTGCTTTTCCAGGGAGATTCACTCGATCACTGAGTGCACTGAAACATGATCTAAACGTTTATGCAAGCTTAAGATAGAGATATTACTATCAAACAACTAAGCATATATAATTCATATATACATTCACTTGAATCTAGCATACAATTTAACATAAAATTCAAACATGTTCAACACGGAGATAACTTCCATCTAACATCTGGAGTGCATATCACAAATTTTTCATCCTCCATTCTAGTACAGGGGAAAGCATTTAATATACATGCGTCCTCTATTCTCATACTAGGGGGATTTTCGTAATTTTTTCAACATACTACACCTATTCAAATAGCTCATTAAAGTTCTAAACATGCTTATTTTAACCACCTAACGTAAGATAAGCTTGCATGCTACCACATCCTAGTGATCCCTACAGGTATTACTTGTCAAGCTCGCATGCTAGTATGTCCACTCATTGGAAACTCCAAATTTCCTAAAAACTCACGGGTAGGTCTTCATTCGAGCTAAATTAGGGTCAATATCAATACTGAAGCAAAGCAAATGAAAGTCAAACTAGACAAAAGTGGGTTCTCACGCGCCCCCACCGTGGCTGGGTGGTCGGCTTCGCGCGTAGGCGAGTAGCGTGATGATAGCTCTAGCATTCGAATCCTAGCAAGCATTGTATTACCTCCTCTCTCACCACTATTTAGGTGTGATGGATTCAGCAAACATTCACATGGTATCAAAGCCCTTTCGGTTTAACAACTCTGATCCTTTCTTCTCCATGGCTTCCGAATCCTCTTATTATTTTCTTTCTTTCAATACTCTAATCCATATGATCACCATCAAACTTTCTTCCTCCAATTATCTTCTTTGGAAAAAGCCAACTTCTAACTCTCGTTGAGAGTAAAGACATGCTAGGTTATGTTGATGGAACTATGGTTCCACCACCTCGCTTTGAACCAGAAACCTCCTCAACACTCAACCTCAAATATTTGGTGTGGAGAGCAGCCAATCAACGACTTCTCTGTCTCCTGCTCTCCTCTCTCACCGAGAAAGCCATGGCTGTTGTTGTTGGTCTCTCTACTGCACGTGATGTTTGGCTTGCATTGGAAACTACGTTCAACCATCATTCGAAAGCTCGTGAACTGAGACTCAAGGATGACTTGCAGCGGATGAAACGTGGCACCAAACCTGTTGTTGAGTATGCCTGTGCCTTCAAAACAATTTGTGACCAACTCCATGCCATTAGCAGACCCATCGAGAACATTGATAAAGTGCACTGGTTTCTTCGTGGACTCGGCACCGAATTTTCAGCTTTTTCTACGCTCAGATGGCTCTCACCCCTATCCCTTGTTTTGCAGATTTAGTCTCTAAAGCTGAAAGTTTTGAGTTGTTCCAGCGCTCCATTGAGTCCTCCGACTCCACTCCTATAGCATTTACAACCACTAATCGTGGTAGCACCCATGGAAGCCACCCTACTTCCTTTAGCAACCAGCGAGGTCGTTCTTATTCCCACAAAAACCACTCTTCCAATCGAGGACGAACCCCCTCAGTTAGGGTCGGCGACCACCTCACTGCCAAATATGCTATAAAGAGGGCCATTATGCTGATTACTGCAACCAACGGTATGTTCGACCTGATTCTTCTCATGTTCACCTTACTGAAGCCTTTAACACGTCATGTTCTATTGCTGGACCCGATGCTGCTGATTGGTTTCTGGACACTGGGGCTTCGGCCCATATGACTGCCGACCCATCTATTTTGGGTCAGTCTAAAAATTACACGGGTAAGAACTCTGTGATCGTAGTAAACGGTGCATCCCTACCCATTACCCACACCGGTACTCTTTCTCTTGTTCCAAATATTCACTTATTAGATGTCTTGGTTGTTCCTCATCTCCCTAAAAATCTTCTTTTTATAAGTAAATTAATGTCTGATTTTCTTTTGTCAGTTACATTTACTAATAATCTTATTACTATCCAGAATCGTCAAACAGGAAGGAGGGTGGCAACAGGTAAAAGAGATAGAGAGTTATATGTGTTGGAGCGTGGCAACTCTACTTTTATTTCAGTCCTTAGAAACAAATCTTTACGTGCTTCATATGATTTATGACATACTCGCTTGGGTCATATGA